ATTTCAGTCAGCCTTGTACAGGTTCTATGAGAGTGGGGGCCAATCTCTATACAGATCTGATGATGTGTAAGCACTTAGTGAGACTCGTGCACCACATCTCTTTTACATCCTCATCAGTGCAATAGTGAGTGCAGATAGACATGCCACCAGTCACATTTACAGCAGCAAAGAATAGTTGTACTACGTCACATGTTGCCTTACTTTAGGTATTTACTTCAAATTACAATGTACCTGCCTAAAGTTTTGCCATTAGAGGAATAAAATATTATATTTTACATAATTTTCAAGTCAGCTTTATTCTGACAGTGTCAGCAGTCACTGGTACAAAACAACCTTTGTTCTTGAGTATGATAACAGGAATAATATGGAATTTCCCTCAGATCCCAGAAAATGTTACATCTCCAGAAATAAGCTGAAATGTCCCTTGGTAATCATGGGTCAACCAGGTCTATACAGACTGCAGGGAGAGTCTTGGGCTTTAGCAGTGGAACATGTATGAATGACATGTTTAAACAGCAGCAGGCAAAACAACCATGAGGAAGTTGTGGACAAAACTGTGTTGACAGCCTGCAGGATAAAGCAGAACAAATACAATCAACAATAAACATAGACACTTTTGTTAAAATATAAGCAACCAATGAAATGGTTATTAATTTTTTTTTTCAGACCAAAAAACTTGTTATCCATCTCATTGATGATTTTCATGTTATAATTGTACCCACTAAACCAACTGATAAAACTAATGCAGCAATTCATATGGCATCAAGTCTCCCAGTCATAGCAACAAGAGTAAACGAATTAGGTGATTCCTTCAATAAAGGTATAATAGAGCAGGATACAAGTAGCAACATTGCAGACAGCCACAATAGTCAGAACACTGACTCCAAGCTGGATTCTAGCCTTCATGTCATGTACGATGGGGGAAAATCTGGCATATGACCGTTTCATGCAGTCAACATCATAACTTGGTGTTGTTGAAGCCATACCTCTTGTCAGAAGCAGCCTGGGTAGTATGAGCTATGAAGAGGAGTTAACTGGTTGTTTTGTCAAGGAGGCTAATTCAATTGAGGAATCTGCTCAGAGTTTTCACCTTCGTAGAAGACTTGCCAACACAAATGCTGTTTTTACAATAATTAATGGTTTAACGATTTCATTTGTAAGTGATGCAAATGACAACATCTTAATGGATAGCCATCTCCACTCACCAAAAGGTGCCTTACTTGCAGTCTCAACGCAGTGACATTGAAGAACTATGAAACTGGCTGAAGTTAAAGCTATCTGCGACAGTGAATTTGTGTACGGTTACTTTCATCAACTTCAGGTAACACTGTGTTTACAAGAAATGCATGTAAAGGTCAAACAACGGCGGTTGATCGTAAACTGATATCAACATATTTCCAGAGGCAAAGAGGGTAAAGATATGTGTCAAGTATAAATGTTATTGCATCTATTACGTTTAAGTTATGTTAGGGAAGCTATCAGGCGGTATTGCTTGGTACACTGTTACATTTAGCTTATGTTGAACAAAAAAACGTTCACATAAGCAGAATGACCGAAAGATTGAAGACTAATTTCGATTTTACAACAGCTTTTACTACCGCAAGAGGTTACATCGAAAAGCTTTTCAAGATTAAAGCTTGTACTGAACAAATACCGATTATGAAATGCGTTTTGTAAATGATATAAAATTGGTGAGTGGAACGCGAACACGCTACGAGCTGTCTGGATAAATTTAAATCAGCTTTAGTTGAACTAAGTCTTAAATAATTCTACTTACCCTTCAGACTTTTCCATAAGAACAAACTCCGTTAAAAAATTTTCCGGTCGGATCACAGTCCCAAAAGTGTGAAACGATGTTCTATTTGTTTTAGATAATAAATAATTTTAAAAAAGTCTTAATGATGACGTCATCGATACATCTGTCCTCCAATAGATCATAAGTGAGAACCAATCAGAATGCGTGCATAACTGAGCTTATTATATAATCGTTCTTCGATAAACTTCATCCACGCTGGAATCACAACTCGCTCCTCGAAAGCGTCAAATCCACCGAGCATGCCCGTTCTCTTTGCTACTGTGTCGTACCAAACGCCGATCAATTAAACAAGGAATTTTTGCAAGCAAGAAAAATAGACAGTCGATGACTGCATGTAGCTTACTGCACCTGTTATTACTTAGAATACCGTATTTAACCGCCCTGGAATCAACAATCCATCTATCAGACACTTTTCCATGAACCTTTCCCCGCACACGATGCAAAGGAGGATGTTAGAGCTTTAAGAAGAATAGTCTTTGACTCCTGTTTGAACATTTCAGAGGACGTGTTGATAGAAAACATGTCAACAACACAGTAAGCAGAAAACGACATGATTTACCTTGATCGTCGCTACGAACTCCTGCAGACGTTCCGAGGAACTCTTTATCATCCAACAAACGCGGAATTTCCCATCAAGCAACAGATTGCTGAAAAAATAGCCGGAAGTGGCATTTCATATCGAGATCTTAAGAATATTTTTGAGAAGTTTGGAGCAAAGGGCCTTGTTAGCGTATTGTCTCTGCCTCCGTCTTCACCAACTGGCAACCCGGGCCCCGCGAGTCACAAAACAACCGACTGAGGAAGCTCTTGAATGTTAAACAAATCCTCCCTGTCAGCACCTTAGGGGATGTATAGAGAACAGTATGGAGAATATGCATACTGATGTCAGGGTGTAGAGGGTTAAGAATAAACAGAAAAATATAGTCCCTTATATTAGCCTAAAAAATTATAGTAAGAGAAATTTTAACTCTTTCTCCAGGCTGATAGTCTTTCTCATCCAGTTTTGTAGAACCTGCATAGTGGAATAGGTTACACTCATTGTAACCATTACACTACATGTTATATTAACTCAAGGTAGAAAGCTACTTTAGTGATATCACTCCTACTTTCCTGTATTTTTCAGATTCACTGGGTTATCCAAATGGTGCAATAGGTGCAGCAGGAGTAACTGTGATAGTCATTCATATTATTGTTGGTTTTTACATCTGGGTGGCTATACAAGAAGAAAAAGAACCAGCACCAATAAAACAAGATTAGAAAAGATGAGAATGATGTGTTTGCCACTCAACAATACTGTACACAAAATGTGTACCTCATCAGACAGATTGGAAGATATCTGAAGTCCAAATTAAAGCAAGAAAAGGAATCCAGGTTTAAAAGTGAACATACCTATTACGTATGTTATGACTCAATAATATTTTTTCTTAGGTTAAAAAATTTCCAGTTTGGATATTAAAGTAAATGGTAAATGCATATTTTTGACTATTACAATCCAAGATAGAAGAAAACAAAATAATAAAAGTTTAAAAAATTTGAACCTAAAAAAAATTTTAATTGTAGTAATATATAAAAATACCTTCTGTTGCACTCATTTCACTCAAATTTCATTGCAAATTATGTCAATAAATGACAAGCATAAAACAAGACAGTTCAAATAATTTTATTTGACTTTTGTGTTTTACTCTTCAATAAAACATAAAGATCTTGTTTTATTGCATTCCACTTTGTGGAGTAACCAGCCAAATTATGTTGAGTAGTAATCATTAAATTATTTCTCTTTTCTTTTAACTCTCTCAAGTTAACAATTTTGTTGTGAAAAACTTACTATGCCAGTCTTATGTTATTTCCCCCCTTTAATGCTAATAAACATTTTGGTTTTATTGAATGGTTCAACTATTTGTAATTTAACTATTTGTATCTGTTTTACTTTAGCAGTGATAGTTTTAGCTTTTAAAGGGAATAACCCAAGCTTAAACTAAAGCTAGTGGATGTCATAGTTCACAGCTTAGTTGTAATATTGAATTTTAACCCTTTAACTCTCATGATTGACCAAGACAGAATTTCTCCTTTCAATATCAATACAATTTCAAGAAGGCAAGTGATGAGAATAAAGAAACATCTTAATGAGTGGATTATTAGTTGATTCAATACCAGATTCCTCAAACTAACATCACAAGAACTATATGGCAGACAGTAAGGAGAATTACTAATGAGATCTTGGGAGTTAAAGGGTTAAGAGAGAATGCCAATACTGGCCAGAACTTCATTTGTGTCATCCTCCTCATGAAAATTTGGTATAATAAAATAAAATTAATTAGTCTGTGTTCAGACTGCCTAAAATTTATTTTAAAATTCCTGAGCTCTGAGAATTTGAACCTTTTTGATAAATATTGTATTTTATTTTATTTTGTGAATCTTGATTCACATCAATTGAACAAATTGTAGGCTGGATAAAAGTCATCTTGATTTTCCACATGAACTTGTTGTGTTTCATGGTCCTCATTAGATAGGTCTGCTAAGAACAGGGCTTTCTTCATCAACTCTCTGTTCATAATTGAGCTGGGCTGCTGCGTGGTACTGAAAATTTTCACAAAATGTCATAGTTGATGAACAAAGGAAGCACATACAAGAGGTTGATATGTGTGGAGAGAAGAGAAGTTTGACACATGAGATTGCAGATCAGAGAATTCTCTACCACTTGTGCAGAGTTCTCCAGCTTAATTTCACAAGCTTGGTTCTTTTTTCTTTTAATTAGACTTGGAGAGCATTTTCCCATTTCTTCATTCTATTCTCCTTCTGCTACAATTCTTAATGAAAACCTGTCGTAAGATAGCAAACTTAGTCAAGTAGAAACTGGCCTGATTTTCTTTTTTTTTTTTCAATCAATGGGATACATTGATACAAACTATTTACTTAATAACCTTCCTAGAACCTGAAAAACTGCAATAAATCATAAATTTGATAGATCAACTCCTGTGATTTGATTCATAGTGTTATTCTCATTTCAGCTTCTGTACATTTTCTTCTGAATTAGTTGTGAGAATTTGGTATTACAGCAAGGTACCACTCTTTGGCTGATGAGTTTGTCTGTTCTCATCTTAAGTTTGCCCAATAATGTCTTGGTATTGTTAGGAGAAGTTAGATGTTTAATCTACTGTGGGATCTGAAGGGTTAGGGGAGTTGTCAATCCTACCTGATCAGTGATGATGTCTTGTTGTCTCAGAAATTTGAAATAGGAGAAAACACACATCATGAAATACACCTAGAAAAAGACAAAGTTCCTGTGTTGTTAAAATCATTATTTCTGAAAAAATATTGAGATTGATTCATCTGTTCGAAAGGCTTGTATTCTTTTATTTTCCAATTATTTGGTCAAATAGAGGAATACAAACAAAACAATTTTCCATTAACAGGTGGGTCTATCATTCATTTGACTTTTCATTGCAGGAAACTGACTTTTCAGCCTCTAAGAGAACTTGAAGTCATAATTGAGCAAGGGACATGAAATGGTTATGGAAAAAGGCTCAAAGAAAATTTTATTTTTTCTCTGTTTTTGTTGCTGTTGTTTTTGTTTCAAGAAAGCAAAATCAAGTAAATTTTATTTTTGCGGTTCGCTTGAAAAAATTGTGCCGTCAAAAGCTTTCTGGGCTGAACTTTTTTCCCCTTCGTACGTATTAATGAAGTTTTGTTCTACTTACAGCGATGACAAGTGTGATTGCTTCCGATATGTAGACGGAACATTTCAGCTGCAATAAAACGACAATCAAGTGCTCTGTCAGATTTCTAAGAGCAATGTCTAACAGCATTTAAGGTCTGAGTAAATCGGGCTTTGAAATATATTGTGAAGGACAGTGACCTGGAAGGTGCGTAAGACAACCTCCTTCAAAGGAAACGAAAGTAACGAAGCTAGAAATGCATGCTTACCCTACACAGTGTGAAAACCTTCACGTAATTCCCCCCTCTCTCTAGTTAACGCCATGCTGAAGGAAGTTCTTACCACACGCCGGTGGGCTTCGTAAACTGGTTGGAAATTTAATGCTTGCTCTTCCCTTTCCCCCCCCACAATTCACGACAACGATTCGTGGTCACTTACCTTGACATCGGAAAGCGCATAAAAAATAATCACAAAGATGGAGGAAAGCTCCTCAATCAAGACCCACACCAACCAGGGACACAGTAGCCACTTCAGGCGCTGAAGAAATAGATGAAAATCCGATTGAATCAATTACAACTATCGACATGTCCTAAACCTTAATCATGAGTGCACGAGGGTCTGTTTCCAAAAACATAATTAGCGCACATTTCCAGGTTTTCTGTCAGTATTTCTCAGTAGAACTTTTGGGGTATTACCAAATGAGAATCCCCCCCTTCAGCTGACATTTTTATAAATTCAAGTACATAATATCACCTTACCAGTAACACGTCTATCAAGTCTCTAATCTATAAAAATTACCTCTTTTTTCACAATAACGCTTCGTTGTTCATTTATAAATGAATCGAGGCGTGCGCTTGACAACTTGACTTTCATACATTTTTATTCTAAACAGATGTTATTTACAAATGATATTAGTTTACCACGAACATCTGTTTTCCGAAAGGTCGAATTTGAACTTCAACAGAAGACAAACGTTCGACGCTAAATACTTTAACTCCCATGAGTGATCAAGACAGGAGTTCTCCTTACAACATTAATACAATACCAAGCAGACGAGTGATGAGAGTGAAGAAAAATATAAATTAGGGGAATATTATTTGATCTAATACCAAATACTCCAAACTGATGTCAAGAGAATTGTATGGCAGACAGTAAGGAGAATTAATGGTGAGATCTTGAGAGTGAAAGGTTTTAAATTAGTCGATAAAACGCGAAATCAGTGAGTAAACCTTAAGTAGGCCAAACATCATCAATAGTGACACTAAAACGGACACCGCTGCCACTGACAACTGAAGGATTGTTATGAGCTGGAGAGCTATGGAGGAATAAAAATTTGATAAACACAGTTAGTATTTCTCAAAGGTGTACACCAGTAATTTTTCGGTTCATTTCACTGAAGACGTAATGACTCTATCTAAAATGATTCATAAGAACGCGTATTTTTTCCGGAACTTTGGAAAGTCACTTTGCGTCAACGCCTCAGTAAGTTTTCGACAGAAATATTTCATATTTATGTAGTTTTACACTTAAAGCTTTTCACGTTTGATTAAGCTTACATTGTTACTCGATCAGAGAAACAATTTAATGACTATCGCAGTTAGGGGTACTATTATTAGGATATACGCTGCGTCATAACGGCCAGTGTAACCTAGGATTATCAACAAACGATGTAATATTGTGCAGCCTACTTGTAGCATAGATCAATACACTGAGTCTGACCATAAATCAACATTCTCTTTGAACACAGCTTCACAGGCGCGTTGAGAAAGAGCCCACCACGCTCTCCCTTTGGCCTATAGCTTGTTACTTGTTTGAGGAAAGAAAACCAAGGTTTGTATTACATGATAACGCTTTTGCAGGTCGCAATTTGTGTCGATTCGTTATACTTTTACCTTATGATTATTTCAGTTTCGTTCCTTGTCGCGCGAAGATGCACAGGAAGTGAAAATTAAACTGCTGAAACTGCGAAAATTTCAACTCCTTATATTAGACATTGTCATTACCTGATTAGCAAGTCCATGGCGCTATTTGTCAGAGCCCACACGAGAGAAATGAAACTCTCATTCAATGAATATAAAACGATTCAAAGAGCACAATGAAAATCGCAATTATACTCTTAGAGAACTTACTTTTAAAGTTGATACGCAGCTGGTTTCTCGTATCCAATGTCATCCGCTGGCGAAACTTTAGATTAAACTCCTCAAGATAAACTCTTGCCGTCCCGATGAACTACAAGCGAAAAAAACCAACATACATATATCTTAGATTACAGAACCTCTGACGATCCACTCACCCGGAAATAAGCGGTACAAATATAATTCTTTTCTTACCAAGCTGCATAATCCACAGACCCATGATCCTTCGTAGATACTAAAGCAACACAGAAATGTTTTAATGACCATTTTCCCCAAGTTTTGGGAAAAACTTAGCTTGTGGTTTGAACGATTCGAGAAAGATGTGTCTCCTTATGTTGATGATATCTGCTTTTCCGTTTTACACTAATTTATTCTTACAATATGGGACTTTCCATCTTAAACCGGCTTCACAACTTTCATTTTCGAGACGTCTACATTGTGTTTGACATTAACAGTTTCGAAACTAACCAAAACTGGTTTACATGGCATGACGGAAATGGTTGGCAAAAAGAGTGTCTCAAATATTTGCTCTGGAACTTGATCATAATGTCAGCCTACCGTGCACTTTTTCCACGAATTAGACGCGGTTGAGTGAAGTCACTTCCGGTCTAATAACTGTTTGCACGCCCATGCCTGCCTATGAAATCTTTCCAAATTTTCCTTACCAATGTCACATGCCTGGTCACAGGGAGACGATCCTGTAGATTTAAGGCCGCGTGACGTCACCTATTGGATACGCTTAGTATCAAATAATTAGTAAGTTATATAGTTGGACTTCTTACATTGTTTATATATTTGCAACGGTCGATCTCGGCTGCATCTCCGTAGGCTTTAAACGATGGCGGCGATCTCCGCTAGAGGGCCAAGTATACTGAACTCTGCAGCAAAATGCGGTAATCTTAGATTTCGTTTTCAATGGATTGAAAGATTTTCCAAGCCAGTATCGTTTGGATTCTGCAAAAGTGTTCGCTGTTCATCCACAAGGTGAGTGAAGTACCCTAACTCACGTGAATGTCCGTCAATCTTTGCTTGGAGACGCGATTCAATCGCATTCGAGGTTCGATGGTTATGACCGATCTCCTCCCCAACAACTTTTCCTGTTCCATAGCAGGAACAGGAAAGAAGATCTGTGAGGAGGATTGCATTTCAGGGGCTCTCTTTATAGAATAAAAAATTTTTGGTAAAGTTTCCGTACAGCCCCATACTATTGTAAAACAAATCTGTTTTCCTAATGGAAATGTATTGTTTTTGTCACTGTTTTCTCTATTCAAGAACTGAATGCATAATGTAGTATGGGGCTGTGCGGAAATTTTACCAACACTAATTAGGGGAAAAGGCAAAAAATGTCAACAATTTGTCTGCTGCTTATTCGTCTTCACTTTCGCTGTCGGTGTCAAATTCATTCTCTAACTCTTAAAGATCTGTAAAAATTTGTCTAGTTGACGCATGCACATGCAATATTTGCAATGTTTGGCTGGCCTAATCTGTCAGGTATTAAAAAATTTGACAAATTCCCAATTGGGATATTCCAGAGATACACAATAACCATTCCTTACCCCTCACCCCTCATTCTCATGAAGAAGGGGGGGGGGGGAAGGGCAGAACCAAAATCAGTAGACACAACCTACCAGAGAAATGAGCCAGAATGACTTGGGCTAACCCACTCAGCCAAGACACAGGAGTTAAGCCATACCAGTTGTCTGGGATCTTGGATCTTGGAGTCATTCTTCAGTGACTTTATCAACAGGACAGGATACTTTTTACACGGAATCATATTTACCCAACCTGCTTTGTGTACCCCTGCTTCTGGTACTCTAAATTCCTTTTTGTCTTAATAGACAGAAATGCACAAGAAACACAACCTGTCCAGTGCAATTTCCCATCAAATGTTAAAAGAGGGGGTACCATTCCCTTCCCTAAGGGTTACCAAACCAGCCCAGCCTTTGAAATTGAACCCTCAGCTATAGCCCTAAACTGTCCAAGAGTGATATCAGTAAAGCTCCCCTGGTTACCAACATGATAATATAACTCCACTTTATCTCAAACAGTTCTCACGAGAAGCTCCAGTTTAGTTATTGTCATGGAATATCTTCAAAACGTTTCATTGGTGAAACAATTGGACAAAGGCTAGATATGACCGTGGAGAAATTCCCAGACCGTGAAGCTTATGTCTGCTGTGAAGATAATGAAAGGGCCACATTTGCTGAATTCCAGGGAGAGGTAAGAGTTACCCCTTAAGTTAATCCCTGGGAGTGACAAGCATCTAGTTTTTCTTAACAGTATCACCCTTGAGTCCAACTTTAAGGTCACAAGAATAAAGGAAATGATTACAAACTCCAAAATCTCTGAATTGTTAGACATATTTTCCTTGTAAGGTAACCATAGGAATGTATAGAGAGCAGTGTGGAGAATAGTAGGGTGTAAAGGGTTACCAGACGAGACAAAACAACTTCAGTAACCATGGGTGATATGTACAGACAAGCTGAGCCAGAGAAACTGGGTCAACTTGATCAAATCAAGGCTCTCTGGTCAAATTTCCTCATGAAACAATAAAAGTAATGACCATGAAAAGTTTTATTTCATTGTTTGACTTGTTTTGTTTGACTTAACTTTTCCTCTTATGAGCTCCGACCAGAAAAGTTTTTTGGCTGTGGGTCACTCACCTCAAATGCAAATTAATCTTTATTCATTACTCGTTACTTTATTTATTTTGTAGGTAAACAGTCTTGCTGCTGGACTTCTTGCTATGGGGTTCAAGAAAGGTGACTGTGTAGGAATTTGGGGTCCTAACATGAGGGAATGGGTTATCACTCAGTTTGCCACTGCCAAGGCTGGGTTAATATTGGTAAGTGCACTGAAACTAATACTGGCTAATGCTGCACTAATACATTTTACTAGGAGTAGGGAAATACTAGCTTGCATCAGATATGATATTCACAAATTCCTGGATACACAGGGCAGATTAATATTAGCTTGAAAATACCAACATTGGACTGATGTTAGACTTGAACTGCCAGTAATGCAAAATCAAAATTTATGACATTGATTTGGAATGTTTATTTTTGCATTGGTGGGTTAAGATGACTGAGAATAATTTTCAAGGAATGTACCACATATAACTTGGACCAATATCCCTTTTTTTAAATCTTTTGACAAAACTTTTATTTTTTTTTGTAGGTAAACATAAACCCTGCTTATCAAACTCCTGAACTTGAGTATGCTTTGAAAAAGGTAAATTTTGAGAATGGCTCATTAGTAAATAACTAATAATCTAAATTATTTTTATTGCAAGATTGACTGGTCTTTGTAACATAATTATTTGTTAAATCTCAGGTTGGCTGTAAAGCAATCATTATGGCTGACAGGTTTAAAACACAAGATTACTACAGCATGTTGACGCACATTGTACATGAACTGCCACAGTCAAAACCAGGCGATCTCTTTAATGAAAGGTCAATCATTTATTTATTTATTTAATAAGACTGTAAAATAAATGAGGTTTACACTTGTGCTGATGTCTTGTGCTTGTGAAGTAAAGTTTACCAGAGAGACACTGCTAGTCAAGAGATTCAGATCGCACTATTACCTATTTACTTTTCTGTGATAATATTTAACCAAATTTCTGTTTTCAAAGTTTGAGTTTCAGTGGTCATAGATAGTTAGTCAGTCAAGTTTGTGCATCTTATGGTAGAGATAGAAGGATGATTTGTAAGTATTCAGGTAATTATAACATTGCCCAGCTTCATGTGATCCATAATAAGTCTGAAAAGACTTGAAATTCTTCGATGTCAATTTTCAGGCTTAGAGAGGCATGGAATTTCAAAGTAGATCATGGACAATTATGGAAACAAATGAACTTAATAGTAATTTTATTTTAAACAATACTACACTTTGCAATGCAGTATGAGATGTGATATCTTTCCTTCTTGTTTAATACTTGGCATTGGTTACAGAGTTTTAATTAATACCTCTACATTACTTGGTATTTTTTTACAGTTGGCCAATTGGGTTATGTATAAATTAACAATTTTTTTTGTCAATAACAATGTCATCTTTGATTTTCTTTACAGAGTTCCTGATCTTAAGCTGGTTGTTATGGCCAGTAAAGACCATCAAAGGACCTTCAGGTAACAGGTGCTTTTATTTGTATTAATACAGCAAGGAAAGGCCAATACCTGTCAACTTGATTATGACTGTCGTTTCAGTGGTACAATGTCATTTCAAGAGTTAATGGAGATTGGAGGAACAGAAGAGAGAAAAAAGTTGGAGGAGTTAAAGAATGAACTCCAATGTGATGATCCTATCAACATCCAGTTTACGTCAGTAAGTTGCGCTCAAAGAGAGCGAAAGCTGAAGGGGAAGGTTTCTTTGTTTTGTTGTCATTCTTGATAAATCATGACGTTATATCTGTTGGTTAATTTGCAGGGTACAACTGGTAACCCAAAAGGAGCAACTCTGTCTCACCACAATATTCTAAACAATGCATATTATGTGGGAGAAATTTTGGATTATGAGAATCAGGTATGTTTCTTCTTTTTGGCACAATGGCGCATGACAAGGAACTAAAATCATTCCTAGGACCAAAATTCTCATTGTATACACATGTATTTTGTTTAGTACTCCAGAATATGTATTCCTGTTCCACTTTACCACTGTTTTGGGATGGTGCTTGGAAGGTGAGTATATATACCGCTAATTTAATGTCAACAACTGTGTTGAAAACGTAAATTAGCCACCGTAAAGAGTTTTAAGGCTGACGTTTCGAGCGTTAGCCCTTCGTCAGAGCCATTGGAGGAATTGTGGTTTGTGTGTGGGTTTATATTCAGAAAATGGAGCTACGCTATTGGTGGGAATATGGTGACGAGAAAACAAGAATAAATGAGTGGAATGAAAAGCGCTCATTGATACCGCTACTGCCTTTTAAAATTCCCTAGAAAAACCTGAGCGTTCGACCTTCTCCGACCCTTCCTTTCTGTCTTCCGCTGAGAGCTTACCAACACTGATTCAATGAAGCTCTTCTGGAGTAAGGCAATAAGATTTCAACGCAACGCAAGTTATAGATCGAAGCTATTACAGTTCGTTTATCGTAAAAAGATGATGTGGAAATTTCCCAGGTTGTCATTCATAATCTGTTTCAATCTTCTCCACCCTCAACTGTCGTCTTTTGTACTCTGTTAAATCCCACCTGCGCGTTTTTTCACCATCCGGTGGATATATGTTGTGGTTTGCTGAGTTGACGATAACTTTGTCTACAGGAAAAACCATAATGAAACATCGCCGCTCTCTCAATGGAAGAGGATTATTTTTACTTAATTAACTTGCGGGAGGGAAAACGCCAATTTCACAAACATTGTCAAATTTTTTAACTGTGGTAATTTTCCAGAGATTGACAAACAAGTCGAGAGATTACCATCTCCTAACATTGCTTTTCAGTTTAATGAGTGCTACGTACGGAACTACCTCAGTTTATCCATCTCGAGGGTTTGACCCTGGCGCCGTTTTGACAGCCATTCAGCAGGAAAAGTAAGTTCTGTATCAGATTCGCTCCATACAGTGATTTGTGAAACCCAATTTTTTTTACAGTCCAATGACCCGGCCAAAGATCGAACATCTCTGTCGGAATTCTACTGTTTAAAGGCATCGAAAATGTATGGTTTGTTGGTTATTTTTGTATTTTTTGCAGGTGTAATTCTCTTTATGGTACGCCTACGATGTTTATCGATGTCCTGAATCACCCCATGTTGGAAAAGTTTGATGTTAGCAGTCTCCGCACAGGTCAGGAAGTGGTGATACTTGTCCGTAGAAGCTGTTGTACTGTGAATGCTTCTGGTTTATGAATTAAAGACTTTTTATTTTGTCAGTATTTGATTTTAAAGCTTGGATTTTGTATTCTCAGGTGTTATGGCCGGCTCACCGTGTCCTATTGAGGTTATGAAACAAGTTATAACAAAGCTCCACATGCCACAAGTTACGGTAAATAGCAACATGTTCGAACAAAAGATGACGAGCAGACAGTTACACTCGGTCGGTCAGCTAGTCGACCAGGCATCCTGTCAGTCAGTCATACTGTCAGTAAGCTAGACAGCAGTCGGTCAGTGAGTAATTCAGTCAATTTTTCTGCCATTACTTAGCCAGTAGGTGACTCAGTTGCCCATGTAGTCTTTCGCTCTAACAAAGAGCTAACGCTCGAAAAGTCAGCTTAGAAACTCTTTACCGTGGCCAATTTACATTAAATTATCTGCCCCACCGACGCAGAATCACAGTTTCATTAGAAACTTACCTCCTTTAGTGGTTTTTCATTTGGACAGACAATCATTCAGTCGCTCAATCTAGTCAATCTGTGAGACAGATTGACTGACAGAAAGCGAGTCAGACAGTTAGTAAATCAATTAGCCTATCAGTTAATCAGTTAATCAGTCAGGCAGGTAGTCAGCTAGTTTGTCACACATCCTTACTTGTTAGACGGATATACAGACAGAAAGTGAGTCGTCAGACAGTCAACCAAACTTTGAACGAAACAGAAAGTTGGTCCATCAGCTTATTAGTCAGTCTATCAATCAAACACAGAGTCATGCAGTGATGTCCAGCAAATTTTTATTTTCGTTCTTAGATCTGCTATGGCTTAACTGAAACAAGCCCACACAGACATTGATGGATGACCCGATAGATTTGCGAGTTTCTACGATTGGACGCGTTCATCCAAATAATGAGGTAAGTGTTTGATGGCATATAAAAGACATCTTTGGCAAGGACTTCTATTTTGTAAACCGCCAAATAATACACACCTGTTGCAGGCGAAAATCGTGGACAGTGATGACCGTGTGGTACCTGTCAATACAGCAGGGGAGATTTGCTTTCGAGGTTACAATGTCATGCTGGGATACTGGGATGACAAAGAAAAGACTGACGCCTGTATTGACCCCAGCGGTTGGTTTCACAGTGGGTAAGTACTTCATAAAATGTTCTGCGAAAACGCAGAAATGGCGTTTGATAATTCGCTTTTACTTTTTTCGAACTTGAATCGTTTGGTGACGCTATTCACGCTTGCCGATTTTTAAAGGGATTTGGCCACAATGGACGAAAATGGATTCATAAAGATCATTGGGAGAATAAAGGTATTTTTTGTCTTAATCTACGGGTGAAAAAAAAATTTTTATTTTGAATTTTCGGTCACCAATACTGAATGAAAGTACAATAACGTATTGCTACCCTTCATTTCCACAATAAGTTAGGTAACAGTTTATTTTTTTTTCTTTTATAACTTTAATTCTTTTTTAAGGATCTTATTATTCGTGGAGGAGAAAATATTTATCCAACAGAGGTGGAACAATTTTTGTACACACATCCTAAGATACAAGATGTTCAGGTAAATTGACTGTTTCACCGTCATTTTAATCCTTCTCTTGTTCCAGTTAATACCTATTGTTGTCAATTTGATCAGCGGCTTTCGCCTGACATTATAAACACATTCTACACAGCGTCGGTTGAAGCTGTAAATGGGAGGGATTATTATTGGTTAATATGAGCCTAAATGATCCATAACTGCTACTGCTTATACCCGATTTTCATTGCATGAAGCGACTACGACTATTTTTACCCTCCCTGGGTGGGATGCTAGCGCATAAGAGGTGACTTCCCGCATTCCATCAAGCGCCCCTCTCCACTCCCACTGAGGTGAAAGAGATACTGTGAGAAAAAGTGTCGTGCTCATTGAGAACACAACTCTATGACTTAGCCGGACCAATGACCCAGCGCGCTCTAGCTAACTGCTAGACAACTACGTTTTACTTACTTAAATTCAAATAATAAGTTAATAAGTTAGTTTTTTTCTTTCTTTTTTCGGCCTCCTTTCAGGTGATCGGTGTTCCGGACCCTCGATTGGGAGAAGAAGTCTGTGCATGGATTAAGTAAGAATTAAATTTCTTCCCGGAAGTATTGTTCTTAGCGGTAGTCCTTTTAAGGCATTCTTCTCTCACGACCGAAATGCGGAATGTTCACCATACGAAAGTGAGATGAAGAGCACGTGATCATGAATCGACTAATCAGCCAGGAGAATTTAAATTCTCAAGGCGTTCTCACGGATGTAGTTAAATTCTGTCTTGATTGGATGATCTACTTGCCAATTCGATACTCTGACTGGCTACTAGTCATAAAAAGCAGTCTTTTAATGTACTGTGCGGTTAACATTGGCATCATAATGTCAAATACATCGTGGTGTTTTGAATCGCCTTTGTCTGAACGACAAATGATCTTTCTCAGGTTGCACCCAGGTGAAACAGCCACACCAGAAGAAATCAAAGAATTCTGTAAGGGCGAGGTAGGTGTAAAGACCACTTCGACGTTCGTTCTTAATGAAATAGATTGCGTCAAAATTCCCATGTGGTCTTTTTCTTCACATTTCTTCGAATTGTGCCTTTTCCAGCTGTTTGATATAAGCCAATCACTGCTGAGTATAATAATTGAAAAAGTGACGCCGATACAGTCGGCCTCATCGCTTGGAGAAGACTCGTAGTATGCAGTCGAAGCGTTGCTCTTTACATCCGAACTAACTTCATTGTGGAATAAACGATGATGCTTCGTTTCAATATCTGTTCCCTTTTTTTTCAGATCTCTCATTTTAAGATTCCTCGCTATATCAAGTTCATTGATGAATTTCCTCTCACCGTGACGGGAAAGGTAAGGTTGCCGGGTATAGAGAAGGGAATACACGGGGAGATACAAAATCATGCAGGGAATTTAAGACGCAGCGGGAGGGGAGTTCGTAGTCATTTTGTCACTAAGAACCTGTTACCCAAACTAATGAGAAACTCAAATTTCGCGTTTCCTCAGGTGAAGAAGTTTGTTATGCGAGAGAAAACTAAAGAAGAGCTGAATCTTTAAATCAAGGAGAGATGATTGCAAGAAAAGATTTTGAAGCAATGATCTTCACAATGCGTTGGCTGGACCATATGGGACACTTTGGCGATACTTACCTCGGACCAATCACGTCTAACTTTATGAAACAATTTCAAAACGTGCTTCCTTGATAATCATGCGCTGTGAGAATGTGAAATTCTTCATCCATGTATATATAAATTAAATTACTAAGAGGACGCGTAGAAAAGACAAAGGTTTCTTATACTTACTTTTAATGGCATCGATGAACTGTAAAGGAATACAATAACGGAGACACACTTTCGTTTGAGGTACGTGTCGAAGAAAAAAGCTCCGTGAAGATATAACTATTAAAATAGATTCTACGTAAAAGTACACGGTTAAAACAGATCTTATTTTTACTACTTTCTTAAAACAAAATTTCTGTATCCTTTTTGCTCAGAATTACGTTGCATAAAATTTGTACTCATTTTTCGCTTGTTCCCTCATGACATATTTCATAACCTAAAGAGAAAAAAGTTTATTAGATTGATTAAAAGCTGTCCCATATATTTACTGAGGGGGCACTTTTATTTCGCAGCGTTTTTTCGTGGAACTTAAATAGTGACGTGAACTATCACCAGTAATAATTATAACTGTTATTGTTGTTTTTCAGTAAATGGTTTGAACACAGGATTAAGAGTTGATCGTATGATCTGATGGCCCGGGTGAGAGTAGTCCTGGAAAAAAACTGATGTCGGTTGTGGTGACTAACGTTTCGACAACCGCGGTGGAAGTCGTCAGTAGAGCCTCCGGTGAAGTCATATCAGAGTCTCTGATGACTCCGAAAATGACTTCCGCTAAGGTTGTCATAACGTCAGTCACTACTATCAGCACCAGTCCTTCTCAGGATTACTCTCACTCGTGCGATCTGACTTCACCATCAGCTGTCGTTGTTTAATGTCGTAGAATACAATTTAAACCAGATTTGACCACCAAAAAGAAAAAAAAAAGCCAAGAAAAATCTCTACCGACTACTTTACCTTTCCAGACGCTGTCATTGGATAATCATCAACGAATTTGATATACCGAGGTATCTTAAAATAAGCAATCTGTTGAACCCAAAATAAGTGGTAAATTAGGGCCTTTCCGCACTAGCGATAAAGTTGTTTATTTAGACAAATTTACTGTCATCACCAACATTTTACAAGTACCTTAATTGATATTTGGGGAAAAAAGGTTAGGTGTGCACTCGAGCCAAGAGGCCCCGCTTCCTGTAACATGAAACGACTCTTAATTGCTACTCCCCTGTATGGAATGCAAATTCATTGCAGGTTACCCACCCCTCCCCTCTCCCCAGAATTTCGTCAGGGTACCCTGACAATTCGCCAGTACCCATTTCTACTAATGGGTGGAGAGGGGAAATGTGATAGTCATATGTCTTACTCAGGAACACAGCTTAATAACCCGGCCAGGTCATAAACGCGGAATCCAGCGCACCGACAATTAGGCAGCCGCTAATCTCGTACCCAGATCCTGCCGTGTACCTGTCACTGAAATGTGTAACCGCTTGGCTGAGAAAGGTCTGGGTACGAGACAAGGCAGCCGCGTTTTCCTCCAAAATGATTTTGACAATCATGGAAAAAGTAACTCGACCACAAAGGAGAAGTAAATTCTACGATGAAAAACCAACTACTCGTCAGTGATTAACAAACAGCATATTGATCCATTCCTGTGATTGAAAATCAATTTTGCTCGCGAATAAGCGTTCTCCTAATTTCACAGCCAAGACTGAAAGATGTTGTACGTAACCTGATCCTTGCAGAAATCTTTAACCTCCCCCGCAGACATAGTTTCTCCTGTTCTCAGCCTAAAAGAGGGGGCAAAAATATTTATAATGGAGATTATAAGTTCTGACTGCGGTTTTTACCAGAGTACAAGGCAGGTTTGTGAAGTTTACCTCACTGAGTAAGATTTTGGGTAACGCGACTGGTGGATGCACCATGTAAGCTCTATTCATTTATAACAAAATGGCCTTTTAATGGAGTAACTTACTTTATCCAAGCACAGACCTCTTCTCCAAGTCTCTCGTCTGGCACGCTAATAATCTAACCAATTGAAAACCTAATCATAAACTTCGCAAATTATTTAAAGAAAAAGACACCCTGAACATAGTTTCTCTCATACACCGTTCCTTAAAAGTCGAAGCATAATGAAATTTTTGTTGCTTTCGAAGATGAGGTGGGCACAAGTTTTAAATCATTCAAGTATGAAACCAATGTGTATGCCGTACTTGCGTCCCTTATTTTACAATTTTAAAAGATCAGTTACACAACTTGGATACACTTACATTTACTACAACCTGACTCAAAAAAAAATCGGCAAATATTTTGCCCTTTTAGGGATATATGTATCTTTACCTGTGCATCCTGTATTTTTGGATGAGTGTGTAGAAAGTATTCAATTTCTGCTGGGTAGACGTTTTCTCCCCCACGCATGATAACATCCTGTGGAAAGATCAAATGGTGTTCAGTAATGCAGGTGCAAAGTAACGAAAAACATTCCAAGAGTTTCTCGATTGGGTGACGTAATCACACCGGCCAATCAGAGCAAGGCAAGCTATCCAATGGAGACAATGAGAACTAAAACAAAAACAAGCAAACTGCTTGGAGCGCGGAAAATGTTAGTGAGTAGTGCTTGGTTTTAGTTTCGCATCTGATTGGTTGAAAGTTAGGACGATTTTTCTAGACCAATGACAGAGTGCGGTGGAGTAAAGACTAAAACAGTCTCAAATTATAAATCAAAGTTACCTTCAATCTTCCAACGATCCTCACATATCCACGTTCATCCATTGTTCCCAGATCCCTAAGAAAAATGAGGTTTTTTTTTAAGAGTGAGGCGTGGACCAGAGACAGCTGAAGTTGTTAGCTTGAAATGCGCAACTATCGGTGTGTTCGGTAGAGTGTTAAGTGCTCCCTACATATATTGGGCTTACTCGTAAAAGAGAGCCCTCCATTGCTCGTTACCAGAGAGCAGCATGGCGATTCCAGGTACTATTGTCTTCCTCAAGCTAGTGCCCCAGTGTAATCTCGTACCCAGATCGCACCGTGTAACTGTAATTAAACGTGGAAGATTTGCGTACGAGACTAACTTTAGTGATATCCTCCCGGTTTCGCGACCCACCTATATAAAGCAAGGAGGAAAAGAACGAAGAAATGCCTAACCCCTTTCAAGTACATCCTCCTCATTAGAATATATTGTGTTCTTTATGTAGGTAGCCCTGTCTCCTTCATCTTACCCACTGTGGAACCATCGTGATGGCTCAATAACATCTTCAGTTTCCTCTTCCTCTCCCCAGTACCCCAGCATGACAGAATATCCACGGATGCATATTTCCCCAGGCGTATTTACAGGCACAATGTTTCCTTTGAAGTCCACAATCTTCATCTGTTGAACGGAAAAGCAACATTTTGACCTTACGTAGTTCGTTTTAACAATTCACATAAACTTACATTTGCTTGCTTCAAAATACATAAGAGAATCAAGCAGGTTAACGAGCGTTTGATCAGTTACTTATGGGCTAATAAGACACCATTTTAAAGAGAAGTTTGCCCTGCATATTGCTGAAGATTTTCGAGAAGCAACATGTCATTAAACTGTGTCACACCAGGAACCATTGCTGGTTGATGGTTGTTCCTGCACAGAAGAAACAAGCGAGACGCATTAAAGTCATCACAGGAGACAGTCGCATAAAAAGCCTGTAATTGAGGCTAGATTACCTCTGTGTGCGGGTAAACCTTTCCTACGGTGGTAACTTTTCTTTCCAAAGGGTCATCGAATGATGTTTGAGTAACAAGTGGGCCTGTCTCTGTCAAACCATAGGCTACCTAGAATTGAAGGGTTGCCACAGTTACGGTAGTGAAAGAGGACACTCACGGGCGCTTGTTCGGGGAGAGGCTCTACGTGGAGGATTTATGGCATGCATGCAAAATGTAAGTTTACCGTCAACTGCTTCAGGTTCAGTTTACTGATAGCTTGTCTCATTACTTCTGCAGGACAAGATGTAGCTCCAAACAGGCCTACAGGTCAACAAAAACAAAAACTTTGAACATTAGAGATGTTGAACGTTTTTCAAATGCAAAACAGGCAAACGGAACCGGAAGGAGAAAGCGACCGATTTTGCCGCGCTTTGACCTCAACCAATTGTAATCAGTTGGAATTAGATAATACGCCACAGAGAAAAAAATCTGTGATAACCTGCCGGGAAAAGAACGTGCAACAGCAGCTTCAGCCTACAGCTTGGTTCTCAAAAGTGCTTCCTCATTCCATGACCAAGTAGGTTCATGCTACCAGTTATGTACAAAATATAGAAATATAGTTCAATTTTCACGTGCAAATAATTAGACCGCGTTCTTCTTCCTGTAAATAAGGCTCTCTCACCCCACCCTCCTCGAGCCAACCCCCCCTCCCCGCCTTCGCACCTCACTGACTCCCCCGACATGGAGTGTGGATGCTAATCCAACACAGGTTACCCCCCCTCAGTATGTTGTGAGGAGAAAACTTGAATTTACCTTTTCTTAAGCTCGATAGGTCGTAATTCTTTAATTCAGGGTGAGCAAGAATATCAATTACCATTGGAGGCGTTCCATACAAAGTGTTACATCTGTAAGACAAACAAACCTCGTGAAAAAGGCGATGCCGTAAGCACGGATGAAAGTATTATTTTCTATTCTCGACTCCTGACAAGAAATTGATCGTGTTCAGAATTCGTTCATTTTCAGCCAGCCAAAGTGCAAGGGGGCTGATATTGTGCGTGACCTCTCCTCTCCTTATCGAGAAATGAAAATGATAATTTTTAAGTACTAAAACGACGTAATAAACCCCTAAGTGTTAGTTCGACGTTAGTGAAACTCCCCTCGACTGACAAATCCTGAGAAACGCTACACGTCCTAACAAATGTAAGATGAGGGGCAGTAAAGCAAAGTTATCCAGAGACAGTGCAAAGGAAAAGGCGGGGGAAAAGTATATAAGTGAACATTAAGATAATGTTAAAAATGATCTTTCTTACTTCTCTTCTTGTACCGCCTTCAGTATGGCAGTACTGTTATATCCACGGGATGGGTAGACAACAGGAACTCCCCAAACTACATTCACCAAACTATAATGTAAAAACAGAAAGATTTAAGTAGACAATCCATTCCCAAATTGCTTTTGTCAGCTATCCTAAAGATCAGTCCTCTTATAAAGACGCTTAGGAAATGTTTCTTCGAAAACTGTTGTAAAACATTTTTTTTTTATTCACAATGTAACAAATACATTTGAAAGCCGCGAAACGGTTTTCCGGAGGAAGGGGAGAAGAGTGGCCCTGGGAACGAGATTATAATCTCGTTAGGGTGATTGACAAACGCAAACGACTCATGCTGGACCAACTGCGACTTAAGAAGTTTCACGGCTTTAATTTTACGACTTAGCGACACGAGATGGAAGAATATACTTAAACTGATATAGCAGACAAAAGATGGCATTTAAACCTGGTAACCGTGACACCTCCAGAATGGAACAGAGGCCAGGGATTTCAGATTCTTGATGGCTATATGGGCAACATAAGGAAACAGATGTAAGAAGCAAAAGAGATATACAACAATTATCCATAAAATTGTACTCAATAAAAAGCAATGATTAAAGGTCGCCGCATAGGTTAATGAAAATTTTTCAAGTTCAGAAAATTGCAAAATAGCGCGGAAAATCGGAAAAATAACTTGTTACTAGAAACTTCGAGAGAATGGATATCGGGTATCTGTGAAGCTCAGGAAAATATGCAACCATTTATTGGGAAGTGCGATAAACGTGTGAGGGGTTAGGGGTTTGAGGCTACGGGTAGGGTTAGCAAATGATTGAATGGCGAGCGCAAAAAGTTAGGAACAACATGGTGATTGAATTGCGCAGATAAACAGGTAACCTGTGGCTGGAAAAAGCAGGAAAACAAGTAATCTGTGCCATGCTAATTAGACTACCGCGTGTAAGTGGTAGGAAAATGTAACTAGCGAGTGGAAATCGTGAGAAAATATCCTTTAAAAAAAACGACAACTTGCCTAAGGAGAGGAAGAACCGTAGTCAGAAAAAGACAATAAGAGAGACACTCATTCTTACTCATAGACCCGAGACGCAAAGACGGTATTGTACGGGCAAGTTCCCAGTTTAGTGCGGACGGCATTGTGTCTCATCTCACCTCACTGTAGTTCATGAACTGTCCAATCAGGAACGCATTGTTCACCAAAGCATGATGGTTCATCGTCACACCCTTGGGACGTCCTGTGGTACCCTGCCGGAAAGACGGAAAGATTGGAGGAGAAGCAAAATCATAAAGAGTTTTTGTTTCCATGCACCATTACGGATAACTGCTAAGCGCGTTTAAGATTTTAAAGAGTTACTTAGCTGTTTTTTAATTGTCTTCCAGTGTGCTGATATTCGAGTATAGACGCCGACATCTTGGAAAAAACACGGCAACCTGGCCGAAAAACCAAAACCACAACTCACAAATTCCAAAATATGCGTTGCTCTAATCATCACAACGCGCAACAATCACCATTTGAGTCAAGAATGCCTTTTTATGAAGCTCCTAATTGTTCAAACAGAAAGCAAAAGATGGAAAAGAGGACAGAGCACGTTTACGGTAAGCTGATTCAATTTTAATCGTCAAGAGCTTTGATTGGGAAACGAGAGTTATGCCATATTACGAGGAAAAAACCTTTTATGACCTACACTCGGTACTTCCCTAAGTGGAACTGGTAGTAGCTTGTGATGGTTGGCACAGCCTTTCCAGGTCGATATAAGCTGATAGAGCAATCAGTTCGTATAACTAGTTTTCTTACCGAAGTAAATTGAAGACATGCTGGTTCGTCAAACTGTAGAGTGCTTTTGATATGGTTCACTTGGTTTCTGGCACCTTCGCCTGTTGAGTACAGCAACTCCTCAAATGTTGTAGTTCCTCTAAAGTTTGAAGAAATGAAAGTGAGCAATTATTACATCTCAAACACCTGAGGTCTTCTTAATAGTATCCAGGTCACTTTAGCTACCGGCACGAGTTAGGTCATAGCGCGCAAGGATGGCGCGTGAATGCGCAAATGTCCGTGTTTGCGCGTCTGTGTGCGTGACCACACTGATCACGTGATGGGTAGACGTGCTTGTAGTCTAGAACACGCGGTCAATAAAGCAGAGCGAGAAACGTAAATTGTGATCTACGGTCATGGTCTAAAAAACGCGTCTAAAATTTTAACAGAGCACCGCAAGTACCTGAATGATTTTTTGCTTTTGCTTACAACAAAGACATCTTTCAGTTCTGGTAACCTGTTTGAGAATAAAATATGAATTATTACCAACAAAACAAGCGAAAAAATTTGCCTCATTTAGCTTCGATACTACAATCCCCTTCCCTACTCCCCCGGAAGTCGAACTGAGTTGAGTATGGGTATAATTTTTGAGTGTTGACTGGTAGCAGAGCAGCTCTCGGAGGACTCTCAAATGTATATTAAACTCTTATTTTTGATTACCTCTCAGACTGAAGTTCTCCAGGTTTTGCGTGCGGCAGTTCAGGTATCAATCTTGTCATTGTATCGTAAAAATTCTCTGTTCTGAATTCGTCCACCATCACCACAGCTTTACATCCTGCCTTAAAATAGAAGAAAATCACACATTTAACAGTATTAATCGGTCGTTAATTTATCACATTTTAGACCTTACCAGATAAGGTTGAGTTCTGAACGCCTAGAAATTAACTGAAAGGATTACAAAATCGCTGCGAAAATCAATTCTGACGTCACTACCTTTCTCAGCACATACTCTGTCTCGGGTCCTTTGTATGCTGTATTTAAACAAACCTATAGATGGGAGAAAATCCAGGCCATGAAAAAATCGTATTTTTCTCATCTTAAAACGACCCTGATGACGCAAAGAAAAAATACCTCGACTTCAAAGGATGGCTGGGCAAAGTCTAGCGAAAACTTTGTTACTCTTTCCAGACCTCTGCCGTTTCACTAGCTCGCTTTATGTCTCCCTCTATCAGGCCCCCACCTGGTGAGAACCCGGCGTAAACTATAACCTTTTAACAATTGTATCCTTAACGAAATTTCTGTTATTAATAAATCGTGTAATCATAGGGATCTTAATAGACATTTGCGATGTTTATTGCTTATTTACATACCAATATAAGCCCAATTTGAGCTGCCGCAAGCTGTGTTATCAGCCATTCCCTAATATTAGGTGCCCAGATCCCTAACCGGTCACCTTTTGTCAGTCCTCTTGAAATAAGTCCCTCGGCAAGTTGATCAACCTATAATATTTGTCAAGTTGACAACCGTTACCAAAGATTGACGTAACCTTTATGAAAGTGTTCAAACTCCTGATTCCAGGGTTGCAAGAGCCGACAGGATCTCGTTGGGAAACTCAGCGGAAAACCCGTGGGATAAGGTGGAAATTCTAGCGGGACCTTGGGAAGGAATCCAGCCAGAAGCCTGACGGGTATTCCTGAGGAAATCCTGGCGGGATACCGGCGGGAATCCGGAGGCAGACTCCGTAGGAAGCCAGTAAAATGTCCCCTGGGAAGCCAGTGGGAATCCCGAGTGGTATTATGGGTATCTTATGGGTGATATTTTATGTGAAAATAATATCGCGAACGAAGTGTTTCGTCCTGACTGGTGGCCGATCATTTTTCAAAATGTTGCAAAACGATTAGGCTGTAGTTTTGCCGGAGATGTTTCGCGAAGGACATAAGGTAACCGAAATTTTCGGTTTTTTACCTGTAACTAGAGAGATCGCTGCTACAAGTACAATAAACACTTGATTGTCGCAAGAGTAAAAGATCCGTCGTTCAATATCATACCTCTTGTTGGAATTGTGAAAACGTTGCTCTGTCTCCATCTTCACAGAAAACATATGCCTCCCAATCCGGGAACCTCTCTACAGTCTTGTCAAACATTTGGCCAATAGTGTTCCCCAGGAGGGGTTGGAGAGACGTGCCATGATAGTAACTTTGCGTAAGCTTCTTGTTTGTGCTGAAAACAACTTTGGATTATTAGAACTTCAATCAAGCGATACAACCTATTGGGGTAACAAGACCGTTTGCTCTGGGCCACCTCTGAGAGCGATTTCCTTCATAACCGTTTTTGATGGTGATCATGGGGATTTCTAACGGGTCACGCGCCGCTAGTTAATCAACGTCTGAGCGACAGCAGATTTACGTTGAGAATGTGGTGAGTGGTATCCGTATGGAAAATAAACTTTCATGAGTTGAATGCATTCACCAGCCGTTTTGGGAGTTGCATGTATTTGTAGTAAAGATTTAGATTTAGATTCAGACTACCCTGGTTGAACGGATGGAAAAAGCTAGGGGCTAAAACCTAACAAATCTTTGCATGTTAACATACCTTCTCCTTGAATCAAAATCACGAACGTCTCTTACTGCATTCTGAGTTTGGCATGATTTGGTAGAAACAAATCTTTTCAGATAGGCTCTAAAATATGCCGCTGGTTTTGTATTCTTTAACCACATAACAAAGACTTTTGGAGTCGCAAAGGAAAGGCCAAAGAAAGCGTTGGCAAATTCGTGAACAGAGTCTTCAATCGAAACAAATATCTGCTTCAGTCGAATGCTAACATTATGTGACAAATCTTGTTTCTAAATGTCACGTAATTTGCAAATCGAGTGGCAACCTATACCGGAAGTGCTATTAGAAAGGAAGTCAAAACCAGCACAGAGTTGACGCAGGCTATCGACTGGGGGGGGGGGACCTAGAAAAAGAAGTCTCCCTCTTCTTTCAATCTAACACGAAGGCTCACATTTTTGAGTCTGGTATAGACGACATAAATTTCATGGTAGCCTTTGATCACCTGTTCCTTTTTTTTTTTCAGTAGGAAAAGAGGCAGCGGGCAGAGAGAAGGGAATGAGGGGAAAAGATGAATTTTTCCCTATAATTTACGAAAGGTTGCCCTTGTTCAGTAAAGGAGCCCGTGAGCCTTCCTAAGGCGCCCCCGATATCTCTTGAGGGAGAGCGATGATCTTACAAAGACGGAACATGAGAAAGCGGCGTAATCAAGCCAACCTCTCCGTCAGCGAAACCGACTGCTACCTTCATTAACATTTCCCCTGCCTTTACTAAATTCTAACTTACATGACTTCTTTTATTAGAGAGTCTGTCATTTATGAAGTTCTATAACCACTTGATAATTGCGAATTCTATTTTTGTTTTCGATTTCTTTAGCACCGAATGATAGCAATGAAATAATAAATAATAATAATAACAATGATAATGATAAAACACAAACTGAATTAGGAGGTTTCAATATGTAGATTTGAGGATCTAAATTTTTCATAAATATCACGCTCATGCTACTATCACACAAGCAAATTAATTCCACGTTTGTCTTTTTTTTTTTTGTGACGTCTTAAATATCGACGATCACTCTCCTTGTTTTCGCCTTTGCTACTTGATAGCCTGTAACTTTAGGCTGACAAACGAAATTAATGTGCACTCTTTGGGGTTATTACCCAAGACTGCGTTCAGCAAATATTTAAAAATTCTCTCATAAACATAGTGTCTTTGGGTAAGTATGCAGCATTTTGATTCGTGAATAAACAATTCGTTTGTGAGGAGTTACTAAAATCTTCACATTTTGCATTTTTCATAGCATTTATTTGATCTCTGCCTCTGGCGTCAGAGGCATTTTCAATTATTCATGACATTCCTGGTGTTGGCAATTACCACGCAAACTAAATATTAATGTCTTTCTGAAACCTTTTTTCTCTGAGATTTTCTCTTAGCAATAATTACACCTTCAGAGGAGTCGAAACAAACGGAAGGAGAGATATTACAAAAAAATCGATAGACTGCGAAAAAATGAATCATTTATCTCAAGTCTGAAGCTCTCGAATGTGAATATAAAAAACTGTATTGTCTGGTAACAGTCGCATGTTGCGAGTTTTACTCTTTATTAAAACTGAAAATAATTGAGAAGAAACGCTGTGGCTTCACTGGTGCCTTGTTTGGTTTCAACATGCTTTGTTTTGACGGGCAAAGAATTTTACCATTTAGTATCAACTCACCAAACTGCTTGTCAAACTAACAAACACATGATTATTTTGCGCGTCACTGATTGGTCGGTAAATATTGTCGGTCTGGGCCAAATGACCCTCACCCGTACATACCGAGTTATTCGTCCGTCGCTTAGACAAGCGATTCTAAAGAGATGTCGGCTGCCGATTTCGACTCGCTTGATTTCATCACTTTCCAGGCAGATTCGAGCAGAGGAAAGGTAAGAAACTTCGAGGGTTTTCGTGTCGTTCGCGAATTTTGCTACAACTGTGTTACCTAGTGATCTCTCATTCGAGTGGTCTCCAGAGGCGCTCACTATAAACTTACAAATCCTTTTAACAAGCGCTAAAGCAATTGCAGAATTAGATTCCTCTATACGAAACACTCCTGCTGATAGAGAGAATGTAACCCTCTCGTGATCGCTGATCGGTTAAGAAAAACGTATCACACCGAGTTAAATTTCTTGTGATGTGGACACACCTTCGGTGTGTAAAAATAATCGCAACTTAAGACAGCTGTGTTCACTGCAAATTTGGCTTCGATGTACTATGTTGTCGAGTGTATTTTCTCTCATATCAGATAGATTTCTGAACTGCTGTATTTCGAAAGCTTTAAGGACAAACCCTACGGTTCAAAGCGGTGAGAAGATGCTAAGATGTCTTGTAAAATCACTACCATTCTTAATTTTTGTGCCAGTTCTTTGGGTGTGCCAATTGAAACTAAAAATTCTGTTGCGATCTTCTCACATGTCTTTAATTCTTTCTCGTTACTGTAAACGCTTAATTGGAAGCTCAAGGCCTCCTTAGTGGATATAAATAACTTAAATGCCACAAGTAGCTTGCTAGAATTTTCTGAGAGTTTTTATCGCCTCTGCCTAGTTGACCTTCAGTGGAATGCAACAACAAACAGAATGCAAATGCCCGTAGGTGCCCCTTTGCTGATATCTCGAAAACACATTGTGTTGATGTCAACTGGCAAAGAAAACTCGTTTGAAACCTTTTTTGGTAACTATCAGAAGCAATTTCAAGGGCAACGATAGCGATCGTTCAATTTAAAAGTTCAATTAAAATTAAGCAACACTTCTTAGAGACTTCACATTGGAATACAGTTTAATTTGTGTCTCTACATTATTCAAATTCATTTTGTAAATACAAAATTAGTGTAGCATTAAGCTAACACAGAAGCAATAATAATAGTACAAGAACTAGAACACTGCATATCTCAAACGATCCTTCTGTAATTCCATTTGAGGAAAGGTTGAAAAATCGAGAGATGACCTCGACCATGAAATCGTGACGAAGAGAAATTCTATTCATTTGTTAAATTGTTCCGTTTGAAAATGGTAAGAATTATTAATTACTTCCTAGAGACTTGGTCATGGTCAGCTGAATCCTATATCTACAAAACTTCCATCAGTGCATATTCAATTTTAAGTCAAAACGTTCTATGCAAAATAGATGGATTTAACATTCATTAGTTTCATCAACAACAGTTTATTACAACATGCCTGTGTCGTCAGTTCATTGTTAACAATCTACAGGGGACAGAGAGTAACCTAAACATGGCCAAGCTGAAATTTTCAATGCTGAAATGAAAAATCCCATAGTTGACTGGACAAAGCTATTAGCAGCTGTGCTTCATGTAAACTTTCATGCCTTATAAAGCAGAACACTGCCATTTTTTCCACAATTGAATAAACACTTCACGTGTAGCCACTTTGTCACATATGACATCAATTTAAAAAGTTGGACCAACTTTCTTGCTATAAGTACTACTGCTTAGCAGTCTGTTTCAACTGATCACTGAAAGGAGTGGAGAATGTGCCATGCAGTGTGATCCTTTTTAACAATCACATACCTCCTATGTAACATAATCAATCATTGCTGTCAAATGAGAAATTAAAACTCACAACTTTCCCTCCAAAACACAAAATTTTCCCACGCTTGGCATTGACGTGGTGTCATTGATATGAAGTGTAAGTGGCTGATCTTAAGATTGTCCACTTTATATTGTCATTCTTGGTCTCTATAACAGGCTCTTACTCTACTTGACCTAAGAAAGGCTAGAAAAACAAAATCTATTGTCTATCTTAAGTTATATCAAGATAAAGAAGCATTTTAGTTTTGAGTAAATTTTGTGGCTACACATAATGTACCTTGCATCTTTTCCAACATTGCATTATTTATAAACTTTACAGGAGCCATTGGTTGCAGGTGAGATTGAAGGGCAGCCATGTCTGGACTGCAATTGTCGAGGGCTTTCTTCTCATCCATGGAGGTGAGAGTGATGGTGAAATTTGCACTACATGTGCATCAGAATACAGAAAACACTCTGAATACCTCTGAAAAACTTTTCCAGGACAGATCTTTATAAGTATATATAGCACTAAGCATTATTCAATGTTTTCTCAAAGTGCTTGTTATTAACTTTTAGGGACTAAAACTTAGCTTTTACCTGAAATGACAACATTTCAGTCACCGGTACATCTCTTGGTGGCAGCAGTAAATAGCCTTACTTGTTTAATGAATTGGAGGTATGCTGCAAAGCTTACAAGCATCTCCCTGTAAACACTTTGTTTCTCATTTTCAGAAAGAGCTGCATTTTCTGCAAATGTCCATTAGAACGCCATGACATTCCTCTGAATGCAAGCCATAATAATTTGCCAGAAGACCGTATGGGGGTTGAAGAGAAGCCACCAAAGCCATCATTGATTAAAGTGAAGGAAGCGAATGCAGAGGGATTTGTATGGGTGCCTGCTGGTCTGACAGGTGGCCAGGTATGTTAAACCAGTTATTTGTAATAGTGACCAGGAATCTTAAGTGCTTGATGTACCATGAGAGAATTGAATTGGATTCCTCCCCAGTATATCAATACAGTAACAAGCCAAGATTTTGTAAGAATGTCGAAAAATATTAACTAAGAAATTATTTTTGGATCTTACTCCAAATTCTCTAAACCAGCTTAATGAGAAATGTCTGATAGACAGTTAAGAGAATTATTGTCAAGTTACTGGAGTGAAAGGGCTCATTAGACAAGGAATGACAAATTTATCACTAGCAATTTTCATCTTGATAAGACCTTATTTTGTCTGACCTTATTTATAAGGAAATTTTTTGGAGTTGCAATTACAAATTATTATGATTCAGTCAGATTTTTTGAATTGAAGGATTTATTTTTGTTTTTAAGATCACAGAATTCATGTCTAAGCTGCCAGAAGATAAGGTCCCAAAACTTGATTCTAAGGGTGCTAGGTTTTGGTTGAAGCAGCGTGTTTACCAGATGCCACTGCAAGATTTCTCTACAAAGCATTGCCGCAAACTGGCACTGGATCAGAAGATGGCTATGGATGACATGTGTCTGAAGAGGCTAGACAAGGCTGTGGGAATTGGTAAGAAATTGTGTATTGCCATTTCAAACTAATAAGCACACTATGCTGACAGTATAAGCCATTATTTTCTTTGCAGGAGCAGTGAAAATAGGCCTCACCATGCCAGCATCATGCACTAAGTGCACGATCCCAATGAATATTGGTGAGATGGCTGTGTTTGCCATTCGCTCAGGACCAGACTCATGCTGGCATGTGCAATGTTTTGTGTGCTCAGAAGATGGTGAGCTACTAGTTGATCATGTCTACTGCTGGGATGAAGAAAAGCAGAAGCTATTCTGTCCAAGGCACTGGAGCGAGTCACTAAAGCCTCGCTGTGCAGGATGTGAGGAGGTATGAATGTGTTATGATAAACTTTGCAATGGAAATTTATTTGATGTTAAGCATGGTTTTTGCTGTTACAGTGATCACTAAATTATCAACTTGCTGGCTCTTGGGGGTCAATTTTTCATCTTGGTAGCTCATATGCATCAGTACTTATCATCATCATCATCACATGTGAGACAATGACATGAGGCAAGATATCTGCAAAATTTCATGTTAATATTAAGTCAATGGTCAACTCAACACAACTATCAAAATTTAGCGTTATTGATTTGTTGATAGGCAACACTTTTTATGATTTATCATTTGGTATTTATAATGGTAATTGAACTGAGTGGAGTGCAATTTGGGCTGAAATCATATGCGTGATTTCCAAATTGAATGAGCATGCAGCACGAGTTCCATTTGAAATCACAAGCATGATTTCAGACCAAAATTGCATGACACAAGGTTCAATTACCACTTTATTACATCCATTTTGAAATTGCTCAAATACAGGACATTGCCAGTTCAAATATTTCATTGATGCAGTACTGAGCTGGTTTGAAATTAAATTCATCCTTATTTTGGGGGAAAAAAAATAACAGTTTTGGAAACAAAGGTAGCAAAATTTGCCACATGATACTCTTTATCTCACATTTTCCTGTAATTTGATTGGTTACTTTAAACAAGCCTTGAAATCTGATTAGTTGTTGTGTTTTTACTGAACCCTCCTCATTGGCTGGGGAAAAAAGATGCAATTTAAAACAAAAAATGGTGTGATTTGTAGATAAGCGATTAGAGCCAATCAGATTACAGGGACCACCAGTGATTTCAAAATGGGTGTAATAAATTTTAGAATTACCTTTTTCCCAGTTGATCTATGTAGGGGAATATTCCCAGGCTATGGACCAGAACTGGCATCCAGGTCACCTTTGCTGTTACTACTGTGATGAGTCATTGTCAAACCAGAAATTTGTCACAGTGGATGACCAGCCTTCTTGCATCAACTGCTATGATAAAAAATTTGCCAATAAATGTGAGAATTGCAAGATTCCAATTGGTCCTGGCACTAAAGATGTTGATGTTCGTGGTAAACACTGGCATGAGGAATGCTTTGTATGTTCACAGCCAGATTGTAAAAAGCCTTTGGTAAGTTTCAGTCCTTGGACATTGCTCCATGGTCTCAAAATTTAGTCCTCATGAAATACTGTTGACCCTTTAACTCCCATGAGTGATCAAGATAGAATTCCTCCTTACAGTATCAATACAATATCAACTAGATTAGTGAAGAGAATAAAGAAAAATATCAATTTGGGGATAATCAATTGATCCAATACAAAATTCTCTGAACTAACATTTTAAGAATTGTGTGGTTGACAGTAAGGAGAATTACAAATTTGATCTGGGAGTTAAAGAGTTAAGTACCTGTGGTGGTCAGAGTAATTTTCAACTGAGCATTAAAAGAGATTGCATTGGTTTTTATGTGACTAGTCCAGAAAACTTGTGGCACTCTTAACCAATCAAATACAAAACTAAAACCATTCATGACCTGGTAACTTGTCTGAAGGCAGTTTGAGTGATTTTTTACTTTGAGTTCTCTTTGGCTTTTAACCCTTAAACTCCCATGAGTGACCAAGACAGAATTTCTCCCTATATTATTCAAACAATATCAAGCAGACAAGTGATGAGAATAGAGAAAAATAACAATTAGGGGTTATTAGCTGATCCAATACCAAATTCCCCAAACTAACATCATAAGAACTGTATAGCAGACAGTAAGGAGAATTACTCTTGTGATCTTGGGAGTGAAAGGGTTAAACTTTCTTCTGGTTGGCTGTTATGATTACCTTGATTTCAGTTTTACAACAGTTAATTGAAAAGAGCTCTAAGTGCAATTGTGTTTTACACCCTTCTTGTTATTATGCATTACAACTTTGCAGGATTTTTCTTTCAGGGATTAAAGTTATAGAATACAGCCATAAAAGTGATATAATTTCGATATCTGACAGCTAGCCTTAGTCAGAGTGCTTAATTTAACCCTTTAACTCCCAGAAGTGATGAACATAAAACTTCTCCCTACAATATCCATACATTCTTCAGCAAACAGGTAATGAGAATATTCAAACTTATCAGGTAGAAGCTGCTATCTTGATCTAGCACCAAGTTCTCATAACTAATTTACAAGGAAATGTGTAGCAGCTACAGGGGAGAATTAACAATCAGATCTTGGGAGTTAAAGTGTTAATGTTTATTTGATTTTGTAGCTAAATCAAGGGTTCACCTTCAAGGAAGACAACTTGATCTGCCATTCCTGTCGTGGAATTACCCCATCCAAAGTTTGTGAAATATGTGGTAGAGATTTTGCTCCAGGGGAGAAGAAAGTTGGATATCAGAGCAAAACCTTCCATGAGAAATGTTTTATATGTGATGAATGCAAACAACCTATTGGTACTCAGCAGTTTATCAGAAGAGAGGACAAGCGCCTGTGTGGAAAGTGCTATGAGACTGGTTATGCCAGGGTGAGTGACAAGGCAATGCTTTATCTTTGGCATCAAAGGAATGAGAGAAGGATGGGGTCATTTTGTCACTTTGTAGATCAAAGCTCACCCCCCTTCCCCCTCCCCCCCCCCCAAAAAAAAAAAAAAAAGGTCCGAAATCTAGAGGTGATATGTTTTGATTTGTTTGGCAAATTAGAAATAGCAATTGGGGCTTTTCTCTCCCAAGATCTCATTAATAATTTGCCTTGCTTTACAGTTCTTATGATGTTAGTTCAGAGAATTTGGTATTAGATCAACCAATTATCCCCTAATTGATGTTTTGATTTTTTATTCTCATCACTTGCCTGCTTCATATTGTATTAGTTTAGTGAGGAGAAATTCTGTCTCGGTCACTCATGGCAGTTGAATGGTAAAAAATTTTAGTGGTGGAGACAAACAAATTTTGGGTGACATTTGTTTCAGGGAGAGAGCATTTTATTTTGAAATTACCTTCATACCTTCATATAAAGTTCCTTGTAGCTCCTTGGTAAATGGGCAAGACCAGTGTTCAGTCAATGAAGTCACTGGTTGAAATTGGCTCATATGAAAAAGTCTACATTGCAGACAAAAAAGAAAGGTTTAAAGGTGTATTTGCCTGGCCACTACAACCTGAAAATATATCAATAATTTTAACGTCATACTTCATACCAAAAAAAAAAAATTAACTGGAGTTACAAATTGATTAATGACATGTTGAAATTTATTTTGCAGATCTGTGTCAGGTGTAATGAGCCTATAAAAACTGCTTCAGTAAAGCATGATGGCAATGTGTACCACTCAGAATGCTTCACTTGTACAATGTGCGCACAACCATTGGCAGGAAAGCCATTTACCAAGCATGAGGGAAATAATGTTTGTCAAGATTGCTACCGCAATAATTTTGCAAAGAGGTGTGCAGCTTGCGAGAAGCTGATAGAAGGAAGTGTCAAATTTGTAGCTTATGGTGAAAAATTTTATCACCGAGATTGCTTCACATGTGCCAGATGTGGTATGGCTTTGGCTGGTGAGAAGTTCCGTGTGGTAGAGGATGAGAAAGTGTGCATCAAATGCAGTTCTTAAATTAGTTAACTGAAAAACTACTTGATTCTGCAAAGCTGGCAGTAACTGAATAATTAGATAGATAAATAAAGTGTACTTGTCATTAATTCTCTTGAAAACAGGAGTGAACGTGCTGGGCACGTCTAAGTCTTAGCTTTAAGATAATTTTTTACCACTACTGCCAACTATGCAGAGTCACTTTGCTATTACTTAATTAAAGACCAAACTATATCTCAAAGATTTACTGTTTAACATTTGAAAAGGAGTTCTATTTAAATTTAATTTTTAACAAAGCATTTAGAAGGCAAATGTGGACACGTTTGGGCTGATTAATGAATTTATCACACATACAAAGGAGTTCAATCTTATTTTATGAATTTCTCAATAAGATGATCTAAGATTTTGATGAGGAGTTTACATTTTTGTTTTTGAACCATTACTTGGTGGCCAAACTGTTAGCTTGCTGGACTTTGGGTTGAGAGGTCTGGGTTCTAGCCCCAGTGGGGTCATTGTGTGGTGCTCTTAGGTAAGAACTGGGTAGCGGAAAACTGCCAGGGAATCCTGACAAAATGCCGAGAGTTATCCTGTGCTGGACCAGCATTAAATCTGAGGGGAGGGAGGAGGGAGGCAACAATATCCCCTGTTGCTTCTTTCTGCAGAGAGCACAGACTGAGGTCAGCTTCAGTGCCTGTGGACCATGCAGCTGAACCCTTTAACTCCCATGAGAGACCAAGACAGAATTTCTCCTTCCAATATCAATACAATATCAAGCAGACAAGTGATGATGAGAATAGATAAATTATTGATTAAGGGATTATTAGTTGATCCAATACGAATTTCTCCAAACAAGCATCACAAGAACTATATGGCAGACAGTAAGGAGAATTACTAATGAGATCTTGGGAGTTAAAGGGTTAAGTACAGAATTCTCTGTTCCTCTCATATATTCTAACAGAATATTTTACACTGTGGTTAGGTTATTTTATGGATTCATGAATGGACAGTGTCTTCCTTTTCTTGAAAACATAGAACAGTTGCAGTAGTTTTACTTTACATCAAAACAATGAGAAAAGTTGCAAGAGATTATCAGAATTATATTTTTTTCCCAAAGTGTTGAAAGAGTGGTTGACAGTCTGTATTAGCCTTCAAATATTGTGTGAACCCAAATTTAAGTTATCTTCACTTCTTACTTAGCAGAGTAAGATAATCTACATTTTAATATGATGTAGTTGCCTGGAACATCCAGTAATGAGTTAAAAAGTTATTCTATCAATAGTATTGTTAAAAGAAAGGAGTTAAGATTTCTATGGTCTCTTTTGCTGTTCCTTAAATGAATTAGGTACTCATAGAATTAGGCACTCACAGAAAAAGCTATATGTCACATTGGGCAGTCTTGCATGATTCAAGCTTTCATTCCCACACTGTTTTGCTTTTTGATAGGACAAATGCAGCTCAGAGTACTGGGAGTCAGAGGGTATTCAAAGCTGAAGGCTTACATGTATTTAGTTTTAATTTTAATTTAAAATTTTCACGTAGGGTTGAAATGTGAGTAGAAAACATTAAACATGGAAAATCCCTTTTGGGTTAAAAGCAGCTGTAGTAAGAGAAATAAGTACATAAAAGACCATATGGTGAGGAGTTGAACCATAAACTATGACAGTATGGTTCTATGATAATGAAATATTAGGCAAGGTATTGCTGAGATGGAGTTGTATATAGTTTAGAGGTGCAAAGAAGTAGAGAATTGTAAGTTAAGGTAAAGAGTCAAAGTAACAGCTCTCATTTGAAATGTGAAGGGAAATTACACTCCAGTGTAGTGGCATGGTTTACTGGTAATGATAAGAAAGAGAGAGAGAGAGATGCCAGTATTTCCATCTATGCCTAAAGTGAAGCATTTCCATGTAAACATTTCTGTTTAGAAACTATTTAAAGACCTTAAATTAGCTAGCTAATAAAGAAAATTAAGTGTTATTTTAATAGGATAATATTAGAAAAAGAAATTATTGTGGAAACTTAGGATGATGATAATAAATTGTTGTGATCTCAATGAGGTATTGTTAGAGTGACGTTTGGGCTAATTATTTATTTTTCTGAAGGAGAATGTCACTCATCTGACCCAGATCAGATTTAACCATTTTTATTCCTGGCAGTTACCAAAAGTGGATTTCTCCTTACAATTTCTATACATTTAAACGCAAAACGATGGTGAGAATAACAAATTTTAGCAAGTAAGGATATTGTCATATTTTGTAGCAAATCCTCAAATCTTGAATTTTAATTAAGAAATGTATGGCTTATAGTGACAACGTGACAACGTTAAAATTGAATAAGGTTAAAGAATCGTATTCCTCTTCTTAACTTCTATTCTCAAAACTGCATAATATAAAGAATGGAAAATAGAAATTTTCAAAGAAGGAAACGAGACGGATTTTGAACTTTACCTCCCCGGGCGAGGTTTATAATCCCATAAGCTCTGATCCAGCTGGTTATCGTCATCTAAATACGAGTGTTCTTTGAAAAAAAAATCCAAAGAAGAAAAAAAGCGTAATTAAGAACGGATAAGCAATTAGATAAAACTTGAAAGAAGGATTTTCTAGGCTTTACTCTAAAGGATTAGCATTAATCGGCTTTTGAGCCCTTATGCGGGTCAAAGAACGTGCGGTCGCGTGACAGAAGGAATTTGTCGCGCACAGGCAACACGTGACGAAAATTCGTCACGAGAGCTACGTTCATAGTGCACTAGTTTACGCAGCTGGCAGTTTACTAAACCGCCAGCTACGTAAGTTGAATTACACCTCACTTTAGTTAGCTTAGGTCGTCATACGGGTCTTTAAGTCTCGAAAAAGAGCCACTTACAGCTTGGATAGTTTGGAAGACGAAGACGCCATAGTGGACGAAAAGCGGGCGGCACCATTCAGGGATCGCTGGGTGAAAGGCGACCAGGCGTAGATTCTGGCGGGAAATATTGGCGAGGTTTGTTCGGGCAAGTTCAGTGGTGATTTCTGGACAATCCAGCTGGCTTTCATCAGTTATCCCTTTTAAGCAGGGGTTTTGTGTTTGAAAGATATTCTTTTTTCTTTCTCCGCTTGTCTGGGGAATTTGGGCCTGGAATATCGATTAAAATGAAGGAAATTAGTGCGTTGTTGGTGAGCAGAAAGCGAAGCAGTTGTCTGGAAAGGTAAGGTAATTCATTGTTTTATACATTGCAAAACTGATGGTGTGAGCGAGTGCAATCGCATTTGTTGTTATAAGTGTATAATATCTCAGAAATTTACTCAACTAGTGTTTGTTTCTCAATGGTGTAAAGAATTTGAAATAATTATTCTTAAAAGTGCGACTTATTTGAAGTTATGGCGGCACAGGTAACGGTATTCAACGTTAATACCCACGTCACCCGTCTTTCCTGCTTCGTGTTATCACTTGTCTTAACCCACAACCCCGAAGAATGACTAGTATCTAATTTCTCCTTACAATATCACCCCTGAGTCATGCAGTAAGGTCATGAGAATAAAGAAAACTATAAGCAGTTAAAGAAGCTGTTGATTGTTACACAAATTCTCCTTGCCAGCACCTTAGGGAATGTATGGAGAACAGTATGGGGAATACCTTTACTGATGTTAGGGTGTAAAGGCTTAATCTTGGAAGTTGTATTTAAGCTTTAATTTTTTTGTCTACACTATGATAACAGTTTCGAAGTGTACTTGTTTTAATGAAGATTGCTAAAAATAGTGGCTTTGCTATCAGATACTTGTTCTGATTACTGCAGTTGCTGAAGGTGGTTATTTACTTCAAAGTCTTCCTGTTGAGAGGGTTGATAATGCTTAAACTAATTGGGTAACTATTTGTCAAAGGTATAAAATCAATGGTTACTTAAGAACCATCTGAAATACTGGGAGGGGATAAGTCTGCTGCATTATTCATAATCATATATGCTGTGGAAACCTAATTCAATTTCAGTGATGAGAAAATGGCATTGTTTGATCTCCTCTGGGTCTTTGCATGTCTTTGGGTGGGGTGGGGGTGTAAGTGAAGAAGGTACAAGGCACTCAAGGAAGATTGGGCACAGTGAGGTAAGGGGGCTGAAAGGGGGCTGTAAGGGGGCTGTAAGAGAGCAAACAAATGAAAATCTGTAACCTTCAGAAGTGCTTGAAATATACTTTACCCAGTGATTGCCAGCCAAAATTTCATCCCACAAATTTCACTGGCAGCCAGCACTTAGCGACAAACTTAGGAGTTGAGACTAGCTGAAAGGCTGAAGATATTCTCATTGACAAAACTGTCACAGCTTCAACATATAAGCCTCTCGGAAACCAGGCTGCAAGGGGCCTTGGTACCACTCATATTGCACAATCCATCATAGCCTGTGTGCTGGCTATCTCCTTTTTAGTAAAATAACTTAAAGACAAAAGATACCAGTATTCCTCTTCACAATTAACGCAACTATTGCACTCAAAAGTGATTGTAGCGATTTATTCACAAACCAGCGACAATAATTGTTAATACATTGTAAAAGGAGTCTTCATTAGTCATTAGAATAAGTTACTTGATAAGTTTGGTCTATTTAATTATATATTAATATGTACGATCAATACTTGATTATTTTAACAATATTACTGTGGTAAACACCAACAGCATCACTTAAGAACAAACCATTAGTACTCTTAACCTTACAAAACAGTCTCACTTAAGGCCACAAATTTTTCAATGATGGACCCCTTGCGTCAGTTTCAAACATGAAACAGAACTGGAATCAGATTGCTCTGCAAAAGGAAAAACAAAACCCAACAAACCTAAATACGAAACAGAATGAAAAAAGAGGAACCACCAGGACTGGGAAGAGCAAACTCGTGTAATCAGAGCCAAAGAAAATTTCAGGGTAAGGAATATTATTTTAGCTCCAATTCTATTTGCAATGCAGGCTTATCACTAGGTTAATGATCGCATCAAATTCAAGAGATGCTCCTCTCAGCAAAATCTCATATCTTACTGGATTACTTCAATTTATCCTTTCTAATAGTTCTTCTCTTGTTCCTTTTGTTTTTCAATTAAACTAACATAGATGTTAACCCTTGTGCCTTTTTTTCCCTCATATCTACTAATAACAACCTGTTCATGTACTTACTTTGACAATATGGCTTTCTGAGGAAGTATATGACACTAAATAGTCACCAGAAACTTTTTTCTGAGGCTGAATGATAAGACATAGATGATCTGTAAATAACTGTGATATAAACAACATGAAAATCAGGTTGCAGTTAACATGCCTATTTGTTTGATTCCAACAATAACAAAAGTTGAAACAATCTGCATTACTACTGCAATAAATCTTTTTGAAGAACAAAAGTACTGAATCTAGCATATAATTAATTTAATATACATTTGCATGCTGCCTTAGCATCTCTAGAAAAGCCAACTACATGTAAGCAACAATGATTCTGTGTCAAGACAAGCTTCATTTCATCAGCTTCAGTAGTGCACACTATGCCATCTTGAAGTATTAATAATTAAATCACTGCACCAAGCAGTTTTTATGTTTGTTTTTGTTTTTCTTTCCTGCGTCAGCTGTTTTGACAACCTGAGGTGAGGCTTTTTCAAGGAAACCATCTTCAGTGTAGGTAATTCTTGGACGCCTATTAGGCTTTGATTTGCTTTTATCCACTGGATTAGCAAATGGATCTTCCCAAGGTAACTGAGATGATTTACTTGGGCTAGGATTGTTTCCTCGTGACTTGTACTCCTTTGGAGTAGAGCCATTTCTATTGATCATGTGTTCTTTCCTCGCTGACATGTATGTACCAGAAGAAGTTCTGATGTGATTGCGCCGTGGGGGCGGGGCTGGTATAGAACTTGGCTTCCATGTCAAACTTTCCAAAGATCTTGACAATGGCCGTGCATTTTCGCCTTCACTGAAGTAATACTTCTTACTATTTTCCTCAATATCTATATCATAGTACTTCAACTGTCTCGCCTTTGATCTATAACCAGAATTTCTAGATGTTCTTGAGTCCGAGGCATATCCAGAAGTGTGTTTACTAGAATTTCTGGATGTTCTTGAGTCAGAGGCATATCCAGAGGTATGTCTCTCCTTTACTTTGACATGCTTATGAGCCTTGTTTATATCTCGACTGTCCAACAAAACCTTAGTTCCACAATTACTGTCTCTGCTCTCAATGGTCCCATAATTGCTATCTTTGGTAGATTCAACATCCACGGGTGTGGCTCTTATAAAGTCAGAGGTACTCCCCTTGTCAAATAATTGAACTCGGTAACCTCTGTCAAAGGTATCAACTGCTTGCCTAGCATTTGACAGTGGCTGGAAATTTTGCCTTCTGTGGTATCTGTCATTGTCAAAACTAAAACCCCCATAGCTTCCTCCTTGGACACTCACACTGTCAAAGACATCGGTCGAATAACCTGCAGTTTCAATGTGGCCAAACACCCTGCCAGACAATCCCCCAATTCTTACAGGGTCATCATGTTGATGCTGTCTATCAAATGTTCCCACTCTGTGTTGAGACAAAATTCCCGAGTAGTGGCCAATACTGTCTCCATCAACACTTGGTTCATAAGGAGCACTCAACACCCCAGATGCTGAGTGATTGCTTGAAGTCACATAGTCTGACTCAAGTGTCCCAAGGTCAGATGTGCATAATTCTTGAGCATTGTAACGTTTTGTATCAAAACCTGGTCGAAAGTCAGGAAATTTTTCATGACTTTGGAAATCTGCTGAAATGCGGCGACTGCATTCTGGTGAGCAATATATTTCTCCATTCTTGGGAAGAAAAGGTTGTCCAAGGAGAGGCTTACGGCAGTTGTAACAACAGTAGCAATTGTCTGTTGCATGCCAGTGTTGTCCATTGTGCATCATTTGACTTGCATCTGGGTCAATTGGTTCCCCGCAGGCATCACAAAATTCAGCATTCATTGATTTGAAACAATGACAGCAGAATGGGTTTCCTTCCTTCATTATGTACCGCATACCTCCAAGTGGACAGTCACATTCAAAGCAACAAAAATGGCTTACATGCCAACATCGGTCCTCAGCTTCTGTGCACTGCTCAGCAAAAATAATCTAGCAAAATAAAGAAAAATCAAACAAAGTAAACACATCATCTTATGACAGGGGAGTGACATCTGTAGTTGTGAATAATGAGCCATGATGGTGTACTGAGTATTTTTGCTGTCATTTAACAATTAGGAAGTAGTACCTACTCCCTAGGGATCCTCTAGTCTTGGATATATAAAAATTTTTCTTGAATCTCACTCTTAATTTGATATAATTTCACAAAATTGAATTACCCCATTACATGCAACACATCCTTGGCCCTAATGTCTCTGCATGGTGCCTTCCAGTTGCAATTTTTTTGTTGGATATAAGAAAAGTCATAGTACATTTAACTTTTTCTTTACATAATTTCACAAAATTTATTTACCTCATCACATGCTGCACATCTTGGCCTCAGAGTCTCTGCATGGTGCCTTCCACAGAAAATCCGCCCATCCTTGTAGCAGTAGATCAAATCCACTAAGAGCTCTTTGCAAATGTAGCAAACAAAACAGGAAGCGTGCCAACTTGTATTTTGCCCAGCTCTTGGTGCAAACACTGCCATGGATCCAGGGCCCACACGATCACCACACTGCAATAAGGAAAAGAGAAACAGTGACTTCACCTTTCATTTCTGGAAAAAAAATTTTGTCACCCTGCTGAATAGATGGGTATTAAGGAGTTTTTTGGGGAACTGGACAAAATTCTTTGGGAGTACCCTGTGATGGACAAGCATTTCACCCAAGTGGGGAGTCATGCAGAAGGTACCATACATGTATGCATAGGCAGGTATACATGCCACTCACATGTAAACAAAATTAAAATTCCATTGTCAACTTTGGCCAGTTCTGATACATGTAATTTCTGAAAATCACTCACAACAAAAGCCCTTATGGAACCAAAATAATTTCTTACCTCTCTACAGCTGTAGCCTTCTGAGACATCAGGGATTTGTTTCACAACCCCACGATCAATAGCATCTCTTTTCCTTAATGCCACAAAGATTCGTAATTCCCTTTTTTCTTCATCTGTAAGGCCATTACAATATCTTGCCTCGCTGTCATATGGAGGCAGCTGCACTATGATCTGTTTGTTACGGTGTCTTTCTCCAATGCTGTCAATGTATGGAACCTTTTCTTCTGGAAGTGAACTCATATAGGCATGAACCTAAAAGTGTGACAATAAATTCAGTTTATCTGGAATCATATGATTATACATATTTCACTGCAGTGTAAATTGGGCACCAATCTCTTAAAATATAAAGGCCAGTGATACAAAATATCTGGCTCATACAAACTATGTTTCCTTCTCATTAAACCCAAATCCACAGCTGAAAATTTTCAAGAAACTATAACTTAAAATTTATAAAGTGAACTGTGATGATGATCATGTGAGGAAACCAACTTGCAAACCTTTTCTCATGGGACAAATAAAAGGGGATTATTTATAGTTTTCAAATTGAAGTTAAAAAATTTAAAAATAATGATAGTCTTCCAAAATCTTGTTTCATAAATACTCCTAATCTCATTTGTAACATGAGAACCACATGGATAACAACAGTTCTTACAAGAATACCAGATAATGATATTCTTCTAATCAAAAATAGGACATGTAGATAGGACAACCTTTCAAGATTAACTCCACTTGCCTGCTCAGGGTTTAGCCCTGGTGGAACCCATGCATATTCATCTAATGCACAACCACTATCATCATCACTCGGAAGGCCAGAATGGTTAGCCTCTCCTAAGTATACGTTACATCCTGTGCGAGCATCATCCTCAATGATGTTGTGATCTTCCCTAGGACACTTGCAGTGCTGACAAATTTTCCTGCAGTTTATCATAACATATCAGTTAAGTACAAGACTGGAAACATGTTAAAATGATACAAAATTATTTTACTTTTAAGTTTCTGTGGCCTGATTGGATTCTCAATTCAAAACATGGAAATGTGAAAAATTCCAACAAAATATCAAAATTAAATATTAAAGTTGAATCAAAAAGCCACCAAAAAAAATTTCTTACTCTGTTTCAAGTAGAGTGGATTATACAGATGAGAAATGAAATGTTACTTGTGAAATAAAAAGTGGGAGTCTTATGTATCTACAATGTGGTACAGACACAATGAAGCCATTTATGAAAATTTTTCTTTCAACAAGTTACCTCACCTTTGAAAAAAAAGAATACAGGGCAGAAGACAGGTTAAAGTAGATGAGGTCAAATGAAACATGTCTGCTAAGTGTCAAGTAATTGATTATTCACGGTGTCAAAAATACATTCACTGGAAAGGAGATGAAATCCAGACGGTTGCATTCTCACATTTGTGCTCATCAGGAAATTGTACTGAATAAGTATTCAAGGTGGACGGGAAAAATATACTCAAGTGTCCTTGAGAAATAATTATTCTACAATGTTCTTTCTTTTTTTGGATTGATTTTCAAAAGGCTTTGTGCTAGAAATAACCTTCTATGAAGAACATCTGTTTAACTGATTAGCTTTAAAATTGGAAATGTACTGAATGGTTAAAATCAGCAAGCTTGGGCATGCCCAGCAACAGCCTCAAATGTATTTGCCACAAAATTCAGCAACATGCAGCATACAAAATCTTCACCTCCCTACACCACCACCTTTGGTAAACCAAAGGCTAGTTTGAGGTTACAAGATTCTATTGTGTACATTACAAGAATGGTTCATAGGTGTTATTTCACACAACCACACAACTCCTTTGCTATTCCCATTTGATCAGTCGCTTTATGATTATTTAGCTGTGCAACAGTTAATTTTTAGCACCCTCTCAAAGCATAGAGATTGTAAGAAATTACCTGTGCGTAAAAAGCCATGAATGCTAATACTCATTCTGTTAAAAGCAACACAATTTTAAAAAGGTATTTAGTTCAAGTGATACTGTGCTCTGTGTCTTAAGTTTTGGTTGCTCATGCTAATTTTTTCACATTAAAAAAAAAAATTAGAGAATTGAAAGTTGCTTCAGTTACTTGCATTTAGTACACAACGCATGGTTTACTACCACATACAAAAAAGAAAAAAAAAGGCCTTGTTTTTGGATAAAGTGTTTATTGGAAAGTTTATATGATCTATCCTTTCAAAGGTGCCAAAAGTAATGTGAAACAACTTTGTATGTATTATGGCATTAGTATCGGTACTGGTTAAAACTGTGGTCACGTTTTTTGTGCTTGTTCCTCTCGACATTACTAAATATTCAAAGCCAATCTATAAAACAGAGGTTTTGTTACACGAGACGAAATAAATTATCAGCCAAAAATTACCACAAAGACTTAATAGAAACAAAAAGAATAAAATATAGCTCTGTTCTTCGAAACAATCCGACACGGTCATTGAATTTTAAAAATAAATGATTTTAAGATCATGGAAATTTAACAGCTGTCTCGCACATTATCTCAAGACAAAACCAAATAAACTCCCATTTATTCAGCTCTCCACCTTTAGGAACTCTAAGCTTGTCAATATTTTGCTTTCACTTTGAAATAAGCTATGTTAAAAATAAACATTTTCGTACGATCTGTAACTCAAAGAAAAGCCGATTTTAAATAATCTCTCCGTGAAAACACAAACCCGATTTGGAAACTTAATTGAATGTCCAACACGTTATAAGATTATTGCCGCAGCTTTTCGTATTTCTACACTTTGCTTCAAAGAAGACCACACACCTTGTGAAATAATGAAAGATAAGAAATTTTCGTTTGCGTTTGTCCTCAAAATTCAAAAAGATACTAATAATTTAGAGTACTAAATTCTTTACATGGCCTTTCCTTTGACATATCGAGACTCAAAACCAATGACATAAATACCAATAACAATGAGATAATTTAGACTAACTTTGTCATGTCGACAGCTCTTCTTATCCAAGATTTACACGGGGTTTGTTCGAGAAAATACGGTACAAAGCCGTTTACCAGAGAATTATTTAATCTGATCTGCTACGCGCAAATTCTACGGTGTTTTCTTATTTTCGTAAAAGCAAGTCCGGAAATGTGGACGCGCAAATGTAAATTTTAATTCAACTGAATAATATGTGCCAAAAGTCCTTCTGATTTTTTACGAAATACAATATTGTCACCTAACTTAGTTTTGGATTTGAATGAAAATGTCAGTGTTTTAAACATACTAATTACATTTTAAACAGTGCTTTTTAATTTGGTGTATCGAAGAAATATTTCGATTGTACTGTCACTAACAAAAGCAAAATTTAAGGCAAAGTTTCCACGTTCGAAAAAAAAAAACCAACATTAAACCATAAAAACTAGTCGCAGATTTTTCTAGCGGTGATTTTTTTCACAAAAATATTCGAAGAAGGTAATTTTTAGAATCGAGAGAATTTGCCACCTCTTTTTGGCAGGTCAATCAAGTAGTTCGTGATACAATTCCCGCATGGAAAATGATACCCAAAGTTATCCTTATCCGACATATTCCTTCAAGTTAAGATCCGAGAATAAACAGATTTACCAAAATACTATCTTCCGTTGGAAAACCGAGTGTAGATAAGGAATCAAATCTCTCGAACAGCTTACAGCCATGTGTGTGAGCGACATTTTTGTGTAATAAAAATGTCGGTCGAAAGAGACAGAGGATGAAATTTTATGTGCCCGTAGGAAGCGGCGACTCTCTGATTCATTTTCCAAAAAGGCAACGCGAAGTGCGCCGCGACTGAAACTTTTCTGCTCTCGTGTTTGGGATACCATGCACACATGTCGTAAGACACTGATAATAACGGCGGTATTTTCAGAGGAAAGACCGACCATGGCGATTTAATACAGTGTAGGACATTGCGCGGATAGCTGGTATTTCTCAATTTCAACGCGCGCCCAACAGTTTCCGGGCAAGGAAGTACTAAACGAACTCAACGCTTATTAAGAGCATAATTCGCTCGCGTTTATAATCCAAGTGTCTCACTCCAGAGTGACAAAGAAAATCTCGTCTTTACATTTAAATCTCGCTGCGTGATGCGTTAAGCTTTCATTTTCAAAGCTATGCATCAGACATGATGTATCAGACGTCAAAACGGACGAAAATACTTGTAGTTCCCAGCCGTCTTATCTGTACTTGACAGCTCGGTTCACCACTAAATATCCTTCCGAGATTGTAGTACTTGAAAATTCGAAAAATGGGTCAACCCTTTTCCACGAAGCTGTACAATTGTCTGTTATTAAGACGAGAATTCTGCCTAATTCCACAACGTTTTTATTTCGAAACGATTACTCGGCTCAGCCTTGGGTTTTTGATGGTAAGAGCCTTTGAAAAGAACGCAACGGGCGAATGAGGTATGCGACTGCGACCCGTGGCGGATGAAACGATACTAAACAAACAACCAAGAGGGTTTCAAGGGGCGACAGACAGCCTTAAAAAGAAAAGCCTCTTGCGTGCTTATAAACTTTGAAATCAATCCGCGCCTTCCGTACACAAGCCGACTGAAAGAAACACAACTAATGTATACACAAGACATGAAGATTTTTACGCGAAGCCAATTACAACAATCAGTGCCTAAGAGGCCGTAAAATTAGGTCAACTGTTGTCAATGTTGATTTCACCAAATCCACACTCTGTCATCTGTTTCACTTTCGGAAGAACTACGAATTCCGAAGCGTAAGAGGAACTCCGAACTGCAGGAAATTATATCTTTCATGTTGACCCTTACTATATGGACGTACGATATCTCAAATACCAATCTAATCTTTCGGACAAAACCACACACTGTTACTTTGTGATGGCGTCCCGATTCTTAATATACAGAATTCCAAGGCACATTGTCCCTAAAGCAAAATTCTGTTTCACCTTAGGGAAAGAAAAATGCGATTCTCTTTAATAATCTGCGCTTGGTTTGCGTGCCACTTGAGAGTTATACAGACGACAATCATGCTGAGAACAAAGCGTTTCCTAGCCGTTCTTCATTCACTTGAATTCGGAACCTGTTGCTCAGTGTAGTGAAACAATTTACTACTTACCGCCAGTAATGCGCGGAAAACCCTGGACACATATCGCCGCAGTTGTTGCAGGTTTTCGCTCTCTGCTCCTCATGTGCTACCATAGTCTGCTGAAAGTCATAAGGAAATTCGGTCAGTATTGATGCCACACTCGTTCCCTCATACATGGTGTACATCAACAATTTCGATTGATAACCAGCCTAATAAGCAATCGTTTGGGCTCAAATCTTCCCTCACCGAATACATTATCGTCTTCTTCATCGTTTCTACACCCCCTTCACACAAACTTATTAGCGAACCAGTCTGAGTTTTGATCAAGAGCTGAAATTTCTCCTCAGTTGTGACATTGAGGATCAACGGTTCATGAAACTCGCGATGGTATTTAATCCAACAAAACGTGTACTGCTGCGCTCTTCAACAAGCAAAATCAAATACAATCCTTTCTAGCAGTTGATTGACACTATTCTGACGGTAATTAATGCCTAATCCAATCAGAAGCGTTACTGAACATTCCTGAGTGTCAACACCACTTTCCCTACACAAGTTGAGCGCCCTTTGATTTCTCAGAGCCGAGGAGTAAAATCCTGGACGCTAACCTTTCAATTCCTCTCACCAGGCAAGGAAATGCCTGTCTACAAGTTATCCCAATTTGAAGTCATTTTCTGTTCTTAGCAAAGAACTAGCTTTGTGCGCGCGAGGACATAATACCAAGTTATTAACCAATCGGAGCCTTTTATCTGTCTATTATGAGTTAATACACAGGAAAACAAATGATAACCTTTTGAAAAACGAACAGTAATAAAACAGCGTTTGTGTATGTAGAAAATGCGGTGAACAAGGGTAAAGGTTGTGTGATAAGTGGTATGTTTTGTGGCTACGTGCGAGTA